CTGTGGGTATAAACATAAATATTTAGAAGGGAGTTTGATAACATGTTCATTTAGAAAAAAAAAAAGAGCAATAGATTTACCTCTAGGGCCTATGACCTTCCCAAGCTGTGGGCCTTTGACCAGGTCCATAGTACCAGGAATGAACTCCCTCATATGGAGCCAGCCTCAGATCCTATAAGAATGTAGGTGGTTACCCCCACAGCAGCCATGTCATTGTACTAGTAGGGATGTCTTGCCTGGTAGGCCTGTATTCTAGCATGTGAGGTCAACAGCTAGGTAATACCCATGATGATGTTTCTCCCACAGCTGCCTCTATAGTATTTTCTTATACTATGAAAACTACCAGCTACCCAGCAGGTGGGAAGCTTCCAACTCAGTTCCAGCATGATTTCTTTATGTCCTATAACTAAAGTGTGTGGTGCCTTCAGCAATAGGATCTAACCATCTAGCTCTAGTTCAGGAGCAATGGCAATTATCCTTTTGTTTTGGAGGCCTCTACAGCCTTCATGGCCACGTACTTACAGAGAAGCATCCCATTCTGGAATTAAGATTTTTATTAAATAACCTATGGCTTCTGATATTGGCATTATCTACACACACAAGGTACCACAATTCAAATTTTCTTAAATTATACTTTTAGCCAGCTTATAAGTTATTAGCTTTCCTTATGGCTTCTTTATGCATTAATAGTTTGGTTAACACTCTCCCCACCCTGTACTCTCCCCTATGCCTCTGCCCTACCCTTGCTCAAACCTTACCACCCCTAGTATTTACTTCCTCTACTTTCATATTGTGTTTTACTTTCCTTAGCCTGAAAGGGCCCTCCGTATGACCCAGATACAGCTTTCAGATCTCTACAGACATTCCTAGTTATAATCTAACAAATCTAAAAATTCAAATTTCACTTAATGTAATATTTTCTAGTTCTATTCATTTTCCTACACACTTCATAATTTTAATTTTATTTATAGCTCAATAAATTCCACTGTATATATGTACCACATTTTCATTATCCATTCATTGGTTAATGGACATTTGAGTTGATTCTACTTCCTAGCTGTTGTAAATAGTGCAGCAGTGAACATGGCTTTGTGAGAGTCTGTGTAGTAGGATGTAGAGTCCTTTGAATATATGCACAGGAGTGGTATAATTAGGAGGTCATATGGTAGTTCTATTTTTAGTTTTTGTAGAAACTTCCAGACTGTTTTCTATAGTGGCTGTACTAGTTTACCCTCCTACCATTGATAAAGATACCTCAATGTCAAAATGGTTGAAGTGTATGAAAATAAAGTAAAAATAAGACTTGTTTCTCTAATTTCTTTCTCAGTATGTTTGTTACTGTCATGTAGGAAGGCTACTGATTTTTGTGTGTTACTTTTGAATTCTGCCACTTTGCTTTAAGAGTTTTCTTTTTTCTTTCTCTTTTTTAGAAAAAATATTTTATTATTTTTATTTTGTGTGTATGTGTGTATTGCCTGCATGTAGGTAAGTGCACCTGTGTCATGCAGTGCCTGTGGAGGACAGAAGAGGCTGTCGGATCCCCTGGAACTGTAGTTATGGACAGTTGCTAGCTGCCATGTGGGTGCTAGGATTCGAAACTGGGTCTTCTGCATGAACAGTGTTCTTAACTGCTGAGCTATCTCTCTAGCCTCTGCTTTAGAAGTTTTCTAGTGGAGTTCTCCAGGGTCTTTTGTATATCACATCATCTTTCTCAAGTTTTTGATGCTTCCTTTTTCTTAGTCTTTTCAGAGGGTGTATTATAAAATTTACATATTTCTACGAGTCACATTTTTCTTTAAATTGCATTTCAATAGCCTCTTGACTCCAGGGTCAAGATGTTTGTTAGTTATTTTGTAGAAATAATAACCCAGTCCCTGCTATCTTGCAGCGACCCCTATGCAGACTACTGCCTGACCAACACTGTCTCTTTAAATGGAATGCTTCCTTTTCTCAGAGGTGTTAAAGATCAAAAAAAAAAAAAAAAAAAAAACCCAAAACAAACCCAAACAAACAAACAAAAAAAAACCCACAAAAAGCAAAACCAACTACAAACGTATTAGAACTAGTGAAATATCATAACTTTATATTATTTAGTTTCCTAATTATAGAAAATATGTCTGTACACAGCAAATTAATTTGTTTTCACAATTGTAGATAACATTTCTTATTATTTTCCTTTGTAAGATATTTCTCTATTATCTAATAAGTAAGCTAATTTAAATAATTGAAATAAAAACTTTTTTTCCAACTTTGCCTTTTTTGGGTTTGTTTAGTTTTCTTGTCAGTGACCAAAATTATTATTATTATTACTTACAGGTATGTATTATATTGCACACTAAACATATTCTTCTTTCCTCCCTTCTCCTTTCTTGCCTCTTGCTTTCTGTTAGGTCCTTTTGTTCTTCTAGAAAATTTTACTTCTACTTTCATTTAATATATATGTAAGTGATTTTATGTGACTATATAAAATCTAAGAACTATAATGAGAGAAAGCATATAATACTTGTCATTCTGAGCCTGACTTAATTTGCTTAACATTATTGTTTCCTTTTATATTCATTTCCTTGCGAATGATAACTTCAAGCTTCTTTCTGAGATATGCATGCCACTTTGTCCTTATTCATTTCTCTGATTTTAGATCCTGAGTTTGGTTCCATTACTTAGCTATTCTGAATAGTTTTGCAACAAATATTGATGTGAAAATATCTTTGTAATATGTTGAGTTGGAGTCCTTTGACTAAATACCCAGGATGGGTATAATTGGGTTGCATTAACGTTTCTAGTTTTTATGAGAACCCTCCATAATGATTTCCATAGACTTGAGATTAGTTTACAGTTCTACCAGCAGCATATAAGTGTCTCTTTTTGTCTACATCCTCAGCAGTATTTATTGTCACTTGTTTTTAACTGACTGCCATTCTGACTAGGGTAAGATGGAATCTCGATATAGTCTCTTATTTTATTTTCTTATTTTATTTTTAGTAAAGCAAATGTTGATTTATTAAGGAAAAGTTGAGAGAGCACTCCTGGGATTGGGAAGGGCCACATGGAATACCCTCAATGTAGTTTTGTTATTTAACTAGACAGGTTGAACATTTTTTCATTTGTTTATTGGCCATGTGTGCTTCATCTTTTGCTAACTGTTCATTTCATTAGGCCATTTGTTGATTGGGTTGTTTGTTTTGTTTTCTTATTACTCAGTTTTGTAGAGTTTTTGTATATCTGTCTGTTTTGAGACAGCGTCTCCCTGTAGCCCCAGATGACCTGGAACTCACTATGTAAACCAGACTGGCCTCAGTCTCACAGAGATCCAACTTGCCTCTGCCTTTTAAGTGTTGGGATTAAGGGTATATGGCACCACATCTGGCTGTTACTCTTTTTTTTTTTTTAAGTTCTTTGTATGCTCTAGATATCAGTCTTCTATTAGGTGTATAGCTGTATAAAATACACAAAAATTCCCCTGCAAGATTCCATCCTGCAGTCTGTTGTGAGCAGCTGTATTCAGTTATCTCCTTCCAGCCTCTTCGTGGCGAAGTGAGAGCCTCCGCCTCATGGAAGACTTGATGAACATGGACATGAGCCCTCTGAGGCCTCAGAACTATCTTTTCGGCTGTGAACTAAAGGCTGACAAAGACTATCACTTTAAGGTGGATAATGATGAAAATGAACACCATCTATCATTAAGAATGGTCAGTTTAGGAGCTAGCGCAAAAGATGAGTTACACATTGTTGAGGCAGAGGCAATGAATTATGAAGGCAGTCCAATTAAAGTAACACTGGCAAGTTGGAAAATGCCTGAACAACAACCGGTTTCCCTTGGGGGATTTGAAATTACACCACCTGTTGTCTTAAGGTTGAAGTGTGGTTCAGGGCCTGTACATATTAGTGGACAGCACTTAGTAGCTGTGGAGGAAGACACAGAATCAGAAGATGAAGAGGAGGAGGATGTAAAACTCTTAAGTATATCTGGAAAGTGGTCTGCCCCTGGAGGTGGTAGCAAGATTCCACAGAAAAAAGTAAAACTTGCTGATGAAGATGATGAGGATGGTGATGAAGATGAAGATGATGATGATGATTTGAAGATGAGGAAACTGAAGAAAAACCTCCAGTGAAGAAATCTATTAGATACTCCAGCCAAAAATGCACAAAAATCAAACCAGAATGGAAAGGTCAAGAATCTTTCAAAAAACAGGAAAAAACTCCTAAAACACCAAAAGGACCTAGTTCTGTAGAAGACATTAAAGCAAAAATGCAAGCAAGTATAGAAGAAGGTGGTTCTCTTCCCAAAGTAGAAGCCAAGTTCATCAATTATGTGAAGAAATGCTTCTGAACGACCAGGAGGCTATTCAAGATCTCTGGCAGTGGAGGAAGTCTCTCTAAGAAAATAGTTCAAAGTGTTTCAGAAAACTCGATCATCTTACTTCGTTTCTGTAACAGTTGATACCTGGTTATTCTTTTTATAATGCAAAGTGAGAACTTCCTTTACCATATTTGATAAATGTCATCCAGAATTCATTGCCAAGAATGTGTTGTCTAAAATGCCTGTTTAATTTCTAAGGCTGGAACTCCACCCTTTACTTCATTTTAAGTATGTATGGAATGTTATGATAGGCTGTAGTAATAGTGGTGGTCAGACATGGAAATGGTGGAGACACAAAAATATACATATGAAATAAACTCAGTATTTTAAGTGGAAAAAAAAAGACAATTAAATTTTTAGGCATAGAAAACATTTCTGTACATAGAAGATAGATTTCTTTAGCCTCTGGGTTGTAGATGATTACTGTATTATTCTTAATTTGTGTTTTTTTAAGGAAGTGTATCTGTTTTTACATCATACTGAATTTATCAGATTTTAAGCTAATTTTGGTTTATTGTGTCTAATTTTATATTAAAGAGTAACTTTTATCTATGAATTGTAAAATATACGTCAGCTAATGCTTTAGAGTTTAAGTTGTTGACCAGTTTAAATGTAAGCTTTTGAAAATTGTCTTTGACAGGTTACAAAAACAGAATTGGAGAAATTAAAATCCAGCTATCGACAATTAATAAAAGAAATGAATTCTGCCAAAGAGAAATATAAAGAAGCCATAGCCAAAGGTATGACTGAATTTGATAGTTTTCTGTGATGATTTTTATTTTTGTCATTTGAAAGCTGCCTTTGTAAGCAGTGGAATGATTCCATTTAGAACAGTTTTGATATTAAAAATCTCAAAATGTATTAAAATATTGGCTGTCATGTTGCAAATTAAATTTTTGTGTGTACGTTTTACATGATTCAAAGTGTTTTCGAATAGTTCACACTAAATGGAATTAAGTAGCATTTGTGAAAGGATGCAAGAAGTGTATAAAATTTACTCTGGCATTAGATTTACTTACTTAATTAGAAAATATTAAATGAAAAAGATAGTAGTCTGTGCAGAAGTCATTTAAAATCTTTTTACCTGTGGTATTTAAAAAAACCATTAAAACTAAAAGACCATTTATGTATTTATTTTGTTGTAAAAATTTCATAGAGTCTTAGAAGGGGAAAGAGAAGCATGGTATTAATGTTTCAAGTAGGTATTCTTTGTTATAGTTCCTTACATGATTTCATGTAAAATTTTGTTAATGTTGAATTTTGGTAGAAAGTCATCATAGATTAGGAACAGGAACTTTTGTGTTGCTGTTATTAAGCAGTATTTTCCTTCTGCTCAAAGGTGACTAAAGCCTTTATATTCCTTATTCTTTTATTAAAATTTTCTTTCTTGATAAATAAAAGCTTTATAAGAAACTATTTTCCTTTCATTTTTAATTTACTTTTCTCTTTTATGGATACATTTCATCTATCTTTTATTATATATTCTGTTGTTATTTTGTGGAAATGAATGAGAAAAACAACTCTATTTGGAGATTATATATATATATGTTTTTTGAGACAGGGTGAAGTTTTTGTTTATCTATAGCCCCAGCTGGCCTGGCCTGGAACTTGCTATGTAGACCAGGCTGACTTTGATCTTACAGAGATCTGCCTGGCTCTGCCTCCCAGTGCTGGGATTAAAGGCATGTGGCTCCATACCTAACTCTTGGCTTTATTTTCAACAGTGAAACTACATGTCATTCCCAGTAGACCATAAGTGATGCTAATTCAAATTCAGCCATCCCTCCCTCTTTGCCTCCCATCTCTCCTCCTTTTCATTGCCCTTACCCATCTTCTTCCTCTCCATCCCACTCTTCCAATGCTTCATATTCTGATTCTTAAACTGTTTCAGTAGCTTTTTATATAAAAAATGGGTCCATGTTTATAGTTTTATTTTTGCTTAATTTATTTTCATGCAGCTCAACTATTTTGAGATTTGGGGTGTCCTTATTAATATGTTTTTAAAGTTTCATATACATAACTTATTCCTCTATTGTTTTATTTTTTTGGTTTATTTATTTATTTATGTTTTTATTTTTATTTTCTGTGTATGAATATTTTGTCTGCATGTATGTAAGTGCACCTATTTGTACAGTGCCTGTGGAAGCCAGAAGAGGGCATTGGATCACCTGCAACTGGAGTTATGGACAGTTGTTAGCTGCCGTGTGAATGCTGGGAACTGAATCCTGGCCCTCTGCAAGAGCAGCCAATGCTCTTAACTGTTATAGAGCCTGTTTTTATTTCTTTTCAACTAGATGAAACACTGTAGCAGGAAGGCAGTGAGAGCCTCAGGACAATACTTGTAATTGGCTCCCTTCCTTTCTCACCTTCTTCCATCTCTGTTTCTTTTCTTTTTTTCTTGAGCTGGAGATTGACTCTAGGGCCCTCTGCATGCTAAGCAAGTGCTTTACCACTCACCTAGCTATATTCCTAGTCCTGGGAATTTCTCACAGACACACAAATCAAGTTCATAATCAGAAGAATAAAGAAATAAAAGTAGCCAAAACCAAGTCTGTCTGATTTCAGTGTCCATGGTCTGGTTAGTTTTACTTCTTCCTATGAAAAAAATGAGCTAAATGAAACTTCATTAGCAATAATGGAAGGCAAAAACTTTTAGACTGTTAGTGACCCCAATTTTCTTCCCTCATTTATTTCAAGATTATTTGTTCTTAAGTATTTTGAACTCAGTATTTCTCCAGCTTGTTCATGTTGTAGAAATATATATTATTTTCACTTGTATTCTTACATGTAGACATTTATGTACCTTATGTAGCACACTTTAGGAAATTGATAAAAAGAATTTTAAGGGTAAATATCAGGGCCAGAGACATGGATCACCACTTATGAGCACTGACTGCTCTTGTGGAAAACCCAAGTTCTGTTCTAGCACCCAGTGTCAGCTTGCAGCTGTCTATAAATCCAGTGGCAGGTGATCCAGTGCCTTTCTTCTTCTTACCCCCACAGGCACCAGGTAGGTACATGGTCCCTATCCATTCATGCAGGCAAACACCCATACACATAAAAATAATTTTTTTTTTTTTAATAAAAGCCTTGCTCACCTTACCTTTGTATTTCTGGCCAGCAGTCACCAGCTTCCTGGGGCCAGCTTCTTTCCTGGGTAAGTTCTGCCACCTGTCCACTGTACCTTGACTCTCTTAGCCTCGATTGCCTTCCCAGCTCCCCAACCCTGTCTCTCCTCCTACCATGGGCACTGGCCATTTCCTCTCTTGGCCTGTGGACTGCCCTCTTGGCCTAGGCTCTCCACTGCTTCCTGATCCTTTGTACCCACACCAACCTAGTTCCTAGGTCTAGTCCCTGGGAGCCCTCAGGGCCTGTTCCCTCCCCAAACTCACCTTTACATGTCTGAGACAGGCTCTGGGCCCTGACTAGCCCAATCCCCAAAGGCCAGCATCTTTCCTGGAGGGATCCAGGCTGTAGGAGAAAGCCTGAGAGCATCTGATCCTCATCCGACTTGGGCCTCTGTGGGAGCTCCTGAGCAGTAGGACAAAAGCCATCTGGCCCCTCCAATATAAAATCAAAGGAGAGAACCTGAAGCCTAGAACTACCATTTTTTATGCCCAACAAGTAAACCACAAAGGCACATAAAGTTTACGAAAAGAAGCAGACCTAAATTCACCAAGGAAGGCTTGAGTCTCACAAAAGAATCAGAAACTACAAAAGAAATCCACATATCAAAGTCGCAGCAAAAAAATAATAACATGAAAAACCCAGATAATGTATCCCCATCAAGTACCAAAAGTCCTGTACAGGAGTACAATTAGAACCCCCTAGAGATAACACAGGACATAGAATTCAAAAGAAAAATTATAAAATGCTAAAATAATTCAGTGAATTTAAAGAATACACAAACAAAGAAATCAAGGAACTGAAGGAAGATAGGGACAAACTTCTGAATGAATTCAGAAATGACTTAGAAATATTGAAGTAATACTCAGGCTGAAATGAAGAAGGAAGTGAAACAGTCAATATCCAATTAGAAATGACAGGAGAAAGCCTCACCAGTAGGATGAATGAAATGGCAAACAATATCAAGACTGGAAGACAAAGTGAATGAATTAGACCACTCAAGAAAAATATAAGAAAATACAAGAATGGAATATGCAGGAATTCTGTGATACTATAAAAAGACCAGACTTAAGCATCATAGGCATAGAGGAAGGAGAAGAATCTCAGGAGAATGATATGGACCAGATCTTCAACAGGAATGTAGAAGAAAATTTCCCAAAATTAAAGAAAGACATGCCCATACAAATACAAGAAGCACATATAGCACCAAATAGACAGGACCAGAAAAGAAACTTTCCACGGCACATCAGAGTAAAAACACTAAATGTACAGAAAAAAGAGAGTACTGAAAGCTGCAAAAGAAAAACAAGTCATATATAAAGGAAAACCCATCAGAATTACAGCTGCCTTTTCAGTGGAAGCTATGAAATCCAGAAGAGCCTGGACCAAAGAATTCCCAGTTCTAAATTACCACAGATGCCAACCCAGATTACTTTACCCAGCCAAAATGTCTATTATAGTCGAAGGGGAAAGAAAACTCTTCCATGACTTAAATAGGCTGAAAGAATTCATGTCCACAAAACCAGCCCTTCAGAGAGATCTTGAAGCAATACAAAGAGCTGAAGAAAGGGATGACTATACCCAAGGGGTTGTGGAAAGAAACTTAATGAAGGTATAACTGGAAATGCACAGCTACACCAAGTGCGAACAGAAATCAAAACAACAGGAATCAATACACATCTTTCATTAATAACTTTAAATATCAATGGAGTGAACTTCTGAGTCAAAAGACACAGATTAGTTGAATGGATTAAGAAACAAAACGGCTCAGTGGCTAAGAACACTGGCTGTTTTTGCAGAAGACCTGGGTTCGAATCCCAACACCTACATGGCAGGTAAGAACTATCCCTAACTCCAGTTCCAGGGGATCCGATAGTCTCTTCTGTCTTTCACCGGCATTGCATGGCACAGGTGCACTTACCTACATGCAGGCAATATACACATACACATAAAAATAATAAAATATTAAAAAAAAGAAACAAAACCCATTTTTTGGTTGTCTGCAAGAAACCCATCTCACTTTCTAAGACAGGCATTACCTTAAGGTGAAAGGATGGAAAAAGTATTCCAAGCAAATGGTACTAAGAAAAAAGCAGGAATTGCAATTCTCATGTCTGAAAAATAGATTTCAAATTAAAATGAATCAGAAGAGATAAAGAGGGCCACTTCATTCTGATCGAAGGAACAATTGACCAAGTAGATATTACAATCATGAACATATATTTACCAAACTCTGGTGCACCCAGCTTCATAAAAACAGTACTACAGGACTTTAAGACCCAGATTGATCCCAATTCATTAATAGTAGGGAACTTCAATACCCCATTGTTTCCATTAGGTAGGTCAACAGGACAGAAAATCAACAGAGAGACATCTGAATTAAACAATACCATACATCAAATGTACCTAACAGACATCTACCGAATATGCCACCCAAGCACCAAAGAATATACTTTTTATTCAGCACCCCATGGAACTTTCTCCAAAATCGACCACGTACTGGGGCGCAAAACAAGCCTGAACAAATACAAAAAGATTGAAATAATTCCATGCATTCTATCAGACCACAATGCAATAAAGCTTAAAATCAACACTGGAATAAGCCCTAGTAACT